GGGCTGTCGTGGAGGCCGCGTCGGAGGGGCGTCGTGGGGGCCGCCGCGTGGCCGTCGTGTGGTGGCTTCTTGGAGGTGGGTCGTGGGGGCGGTCGGGTCGGGGGGATATCGCGGGGCAGTCGGGGGGGTCAGGTGTGGGGCTCCAGGGGGTGGCTTCGGCTGTCCCTATGACTGCTTCCCCGGGTATGCCCTTCACGGGTTCCCTCTGATGGCATGCGACCACTCGGGATGTCGAGCCGGCCGCGGGGGAGGCGGCGCCAGCCGTGGGCTGTCCGGCGGCCCCCATGGCCGCTTCCCCAGGCATGCTCCCCACGGGCTCCCTCTCAGGGTATGCGTCCACTCGGGGCGCGGCTGCGGGGTCATGGAGTCAATCGTGGGGGCCGTGGGGCGTTGGGTCGTGGGGGTAGGCGCAGTAGGGGCACGCTGGGATGAAGGGCGGTTGGCGGAGAGCCCTATCATCGTGGCAGTGGGCATTTGTGTCGGTGGCCCAGTAGCCGGGTGGCACGGCCGGCGTTCCAGGGTCTGTTGGCGCAGGTACTGGTGTGACGATGTGTCTCGGCCCGCTGCAGGTGCCATTATCAGTGCAAGCGCTGGCGTCGGCGCGGGCGTAGGCCCCCTGACATTGCCTCCGCTGGTGTGCGATGTCGTGCCAGTGGTCGTGCGGCTGGTCGATGGTCGCGTTCATCATGGCCAAGTCGTATGTGCGGACTGGCAGGTGTCTCCGGGCTGCTGATGTCGACGAGATTGATTTGACCGTCGGCTGGATTCTTGTCTTTTGACCACGAGGCCTTCCCGTTGACAACGAAGATCTCGAGTTTGAGTTGGCATGCGCGATGGCTCCCCGCTGCAGGTCGGTTTTGTCTTGGGTTTGCTGGTCGACGGGCGCGTCTGGAAGCGGCCGCCCTGGCGTGCAGGCCTTGCCGGGAAGGTGTCGGATTTCCCAGTTGGTCACATGGTAGGGTCTGGCTGCTGGATCGATCTGGTGCTCCCCCTTTAGCCTTTCGACGTCGAGCTCGTCGTGGCTGTTTCGACTGACGAGCTTAGGGCCTCCGCGTGCAGATCCGTACTCTCTCCTTGCAAGAGGTGTTGTTTGTCCACGGGCCGCCAGGGGGTAATGTTCCGATATGGGAAATTGCTGGGCCCGTTCTGAGATTCGGGGTCACCTGGTCTGCGGGGGCTTAAATCACGCGTGCCTTGCAACGGCCATCGTGATTTCGCCTCGTCGTGGTATCTCGCGGCTGGTTTGCGCCCGTCCTTGGCTGAGGCCTCACTCCCCTGCGCGCCCCTTGTGGCTAACTTGGCTTGGGCTTTGGCAGCTAGGCCTTGCCAGATCAGACCAATGGTTTGCTCCGTATTAGTGATGCATGGGTCGCGGTCTCGCGGTGACGTTTCGTCGCGCGTTGGTGCCCGAGGGGACTATCACTCTGGCGTGTTGTAAGTGGAGGGGTTG